GTTCCCATTCCGAATACAGAAGTCAAGCACTTGTGTGACGAAAATACTCTTTACGGGGAAGATAGTTCATTGCCAGTACTTTTTAGAAAGTAAGGGTCAGCCGGTCAAAGGGGTTGGTTCTGTTTCAAACCATTTTTTTTGTGAAAATCGTGAATAATAAATAAACTATAATATTATGGTAAATATAATAGCAAGTACTTTGCTTGATGTCTGAATATTATTAGCAGTAATAAATAAAGGAAGTCAGGTGGCTTCCGATGTTCCTTATTACTTTAATAAACTTCGCCAGGACTATTTAAACATTCAAGAAAAAATGGATGAAGAAAGACTGGGGTCTCTGATAAAAGAAAGCAATGTTCATTTAGAAAAAGTTAAAGGCGACATAGAAACTATTAAAGATAATAAAATGGAGAATGATGATGAATTTGAAGTAATAAATAAGGAGTTAACAGAAAAAGAAAGATATAAGGAGGAGTTGGAAAAACTTATCCATGAATGAGAAATGCGACGGTCGAGGATGAAATGCGGAAATAAATAATTTGTACAACAAATTATTTTATTCTTAAATAGAAAATATTTATATGAAATTAACGCTAAAAAATAAGTTTTTTTGAATGAAAGTAGGAATAATAGGATTGGGAGTCTTTGCTACTGGAGTAGCAAAAGCCAGAGCAGCAGGAGTTCCGATGGATCCATGAGTAGATATTGCTGCTGCTATAGCCCCGGAAGTTGCTATTGGCTTGCACAAAGGAACCAACTATTTGTGAAATAAAGAGATCGAAGAAGTTAATAAAAAAGCAGAAGTAGTTGGCTTTGCTAATGCTGGTGATGGTGTAAATGGTATATGAGAAGCCAAAGAAGATAGAGATTGACAATTGGTAAAGTATACTGATTGAGACACTCATTTCAAAGAAAAGTTTAGTCAAAACGACTCATCGTTTTTTTAAGGAAATAATAATTTACAATCATTTCATTGCCATTTGGCAAATAAAAGTGGGGTGGTTCTAGTGAGAGACCACCCCCATTGCTTTACAAAAAA